TGTGAAACCTCCACCTTCACATCCTTCCATGACAAATCACTTCACTGATTTTGTTTTTAACTGTATCCGTATTAAACAACAGGGGTTAGTGTGCACTCACTATTTCCAAACAGGTTAGACACCTTCTGTCCTCTTTAGTATATTCAGCCTTATTCTTCTGAGCTCTCTGGGTCACGCAGACCATCTGCCTTCATCCTGTTGGATTCATCCTGTCACGATGTTTGCTTGACTGCTGTACTTGATTTGATGTATTGTTGCTATTATTATACACTGTTCAGTGCTTGATTTTTGTCTGCTGGCTGGCTGGGTTGCTGACCTGGACTCAATGGAACTGGGAACATGCAGTGTGGGCATGCAAGAAATACTTAATACGAGAAAGTGCAAAGTTGTCTTAGTGCTTTAATGTCACATCTGATTCTATTTCAGTGTAATCCCTTGTGTATAGAATCATTTTGATTGAAAAGACCCTTAAGATTGAGTCCAACCCTATGGCAAACTGGTGGGAGATCTTTGGGATGATGAATGATGCAGAGAAACAGTTATTGCTGCATGGATTGCACATAAGTTCTTTGAACAATGGATGTTAATGCAAGTCCCCATGAAAGGCCATGAAGTGTGGCCCTGGATGTCTTTGACAACCACACCACATACTTGCTTCACATAAATGTACTATGTGTTTAGCACTAGCAGTGGGAATACCTGTGTGCAAATACCTGACAGATCACTTCCACAACAGCACCTTACCTGGTGACAGTCTGCACAGATTTTGGCAGCTGGTGTTCGCTCTGACTCTGCTTTGCTGCAAACTCCTTTTTGGAGCCAGTCTGGGCTAGTTCCTGTTTTAAGCACCTCTAACCATTCTTAGATACAGAAAACACAGCAGAGAGACTTGATCGTTTAACCATGGCTCCATGAGGGGAGTCAGCATCCTTTACATTGGAGGTGATCTGAGACAGCTAGCATGGCTTCACCAAGGGCAAGTCCTGCCTGACCAATCTAGGGGCCTTCTATGATGGAGTGACTACATCAGTGGACGAGGGAAGAGCTATGCATGTCGTCTATCTGGAATTCTCTAAGGTCTTTAACACAGTCCCACACAACATCCTTCTCTCTAAATTGGAGAGATACGGATTTGATGGGTGCACTGTTTGGTGGATGCATGGTGCATCCATTGGTTGGATGGTTGCATCCTGAGGGTAGTGGTCAACAGCTCAATATCCAGATGGAGATCGGTGACAAGTGTGTCCCTCAGGGGTCTGTACTGGGACCAGTAGTGTTTAATATCTTCATCAATGACCTAGAGAATGGGATCAAGTGGACCCTCATCAAATTTGTGGACAACACCAAGCTGAGTGGTGCAGTTGACATGCCTGAGGGATGGGATGCCATCCAGAGGGACCTGGACAGGCTCAAGAAGCGGGCCTATGTGAACCTCATGAGGTTCAACAAGGCCAAGTGCAGGGTCCTGCACCTGGGTCAGGGCAACCACCAGTATCAATACAGGCTGGAGGATGAAGGGATTGAGAGTAGCCTGCCGAAAAGGACTTGGGGGTACTGGTAGATAAAAAGCTGGACATGAGCTGACAATGTGCACTCGCAGCCCAGAAAGCCAACTGTATCCTGGGCTGCAACAAAAGAAATGTGGCCAGCAGGTCGAGGGAGGTGATTCTGCCCCTCTACTCTGCTGAGACCCCACCTGGAGTACTGCATCCAGCTCTGGAGCCCTCAGCACAGGAAAGACATGTACCTGTAGGAGTGGGTCCAGAGGAGGGCCACAAAAATGATTAGAGGGCTGGAGCACCTGTCCTGTGAGGACAGGTTGAGAGAGTTGGGGTTGTTCAGCCTGGAGAAGAGAAGGCTCAGGGGAGACCTTATTGCAGCCTTTCAGTACTCAAAGGGGACTTATAAGGAAGATGGAAACAGACTTTTTAGCATGGCCTGTTGCGATCGGACATTGAGTAATGGTTTTAAGCTAAAAGAGGGAAGATTTAGACTAGATATAAGGAAGAAATTTTTTATGCTGAGGGTGGTGAAACACTGGAACAGGTTGCCCAGAGAGGTGGTAGATGCCCCATCCCTGGAATTCAAGGTCAGGTTGGATGAGGCTCTGAGCAACCTGATCTAGTTGAAGATGTCCCCTGCTCATTGCAGGGTGTTTGGACTAGACAACCTTTAAAGGTCCCTTCCAACGCGAACTATTCTATGATTCTAAGATTGTTTTAGAGAGATAGAGTAGAGCTGAATTTGTCATTGCTCTGACTCTGGTATTTACTCTTGCTGTTGGCTGCCTCTTGAAGACATATAGTGCTATGCACTTAATAGGTTAGATTCCATCCTGACAAAATCAATTATTTTCAGAACAGACTGGTTATATTTTTGTGCTACAGATAAACCACTCTCTTGCACAAAATGGGTATTTTGTCATTCCAAGATGGATGCTAGGTGTTTCCACCTGACATCTGACTAAGAAAAGGCTCTTCACCAAAATGAGTGAGAATTTTTAGGAATAGCTAGAGAATCAGTAGTGACATGTCTGAAATCAGGATTCCTGTAGCAGAAATGCGAGGGAAATTGAGGCTTGCTTGCATGAGCAGTGCTCTAGTAATTCTGACTATGGTCTAAAAACTCTGACTCACAAGCTTGTGTAGGGCAATTTAAGAAGTTAGCACCTCTGGTCCTGCAGGCAGTATGTCTGTGCCTCAGCTGCCATGTTATTCACAGCCAAGAGTGCTAGCTGATTTCAGTGACATAAACTGGGCTGTGAATTGCAGCAACAAGTTGCCACTATGACTTCTGCTACTGGGGTCAATCTCTGCGGTACAATGTGCAGCTCTTAAATTGCCAAAGGGAAAGTGGATGATACCCTGTTCAGTTCCCCACTTGCTACACAAGGCCTCAGTACCACGATTTCAGGTACTTAAAAACAACAGACCCAGAATGGTCTCTTACATTTCCCCCTGCGGGATAGTATTGCAGTGCAGTGGTAGGTGACAACTGGTGGTAAGTGTGCACATATGAGGTCTCTTGTGGGTCCTGTAGAACAAATTCATGACTCTGCATCTCATCTGAGCTCTGAACTATGCCCATTACTTTTTGTCTGGCTATGAAGAGAGTCTGAAGTTGTCCTGGCTAATTGGTCTAGTCACAGCAAAGCCTTTTTTTTAGTCAGGAGACAATATAGCTCAGGAAAGGAGGAAATTTCAGGCAAGGTAGCAGAAGGCTATCATTCACCAATCCCATTGCGCACACATCTACAAACACCTTTCAGCTCCCTGATTTCGCCTGTATGAAAATATGAACATGTGAACAGCAAACCACTTAATCTGCTGGGCTTGATTTTTGTGTGCAGACACCAGCCGGTGGACAGGGGAGACAGTATCAAAGGGGCAGGTACTCGCACTCCAAAAATGAAACAGTTTTAATGCTTATTAGCATAGCAGTATTTCTGTTGCTTACTTGTCTTAACTCCACCAGCCTTATCTATAAAAACCAGGAAGTATTAGCCAATGAAAAGTGAAGACTGT